ATTTATTATTATTTTCAATTAAAATATTTATTTATTATTAAAAAAATAATAAAATAATTATTAAAAAAATAAAAAAAAATATTATTATATTAATTTATTTAAGATTTATATTATAAATTATAAATTATAGTCCTATGGGTCTATAGTACAGTAGTAATGCTTCATAGGTCACCAGGAGAAGGTCTAGGGTTCAACTCCACCTGGTTATAAAAATTTATTACCTTCATGATTGATTGACCGGCTTCTAATTCATGTCGTACCCAATTAGCCGACAAAAAAATCTATCTCCAAATTTAGTTAGGCTGCATGAAGATGGGATCTCTGGTCTTTCTGACGATCGCGGGCTGAAAACAGGTTGAAGCAAGGAAGGTTGCACAAGGAAAGGCTTCTGGTCTAACTCCGGTAATAAGCCCACAAACTCAAACCCAAAATGGCGACAGCAGACTCCATTACACAATATAAAGAGGTTAATTCTAAGCTGATCTATCCCAATCTGGAGCTTGTAAATCTATCCCAATGGTGATGTTCCATAGAACTTAATCATATGGCCGAAGGGCAAGGTATCAGCCACAGGTGATAAGAAGACTAGACAAAAATCGTTAAGCCAAGTGAGTCTAGTGAGAATCTACAAGATTAAATTGGAATCCAAGCAAGGACACCAGTTTCACAGGTGATGAAAACGGTAGTGTTGCATTATGCTAGTGGCATATCCCAAGGATCAGTGATAACAGATGATTGGAATGACTGGGTTTAATCTCTATAATAAACATCCCTTACACACTGCTCTCTGCAATAATGTACCAGCAGGTTTAGGCGGGTTTAAACTAGTGGTAGGATTCCCCCCTTGCGAAAGTCCCACCTGACGTGTGGACACATCTACTTGATGTTGAACGTATAATTAGGTAAAAAAAGTGGTTAGCGTAGCTAGTCTTATAGTAATATATGTACTAGACAGTGTTAAACTGCAAATTAACTGTAGAAACATAAAGAGTATTCATGTATCAACTGACTTCCAGTTAGTTTGTAGAGACGTTGTCTGAATATTAAATATATCAATAAAGATTACATGCCATGCGCACGTTCCACTTTAAAAAAAAATAAAAAAAATAAATTATAAATTATATAATTATGAATTTTAAATTATGGGGTAGTAAATTTATATCCTGAAAATTTTTGGTTCACCTTCAAAAATAATTATCCATATTATTAATTAATTAATTTTTTATCTTTTATATTTGAAAAACAGAAATAAAATACTTAATATGTTATATATTTATTGTTATTTATTATTTATTATTATTGTCTTTTATATTTATTATTTATTATTTATTTTATTATTATTATTATATTATACATATTATGTTTAATAAGATATTTTAAAATATTATGCATATTATATTTATATAATATCATAAAAACTATATATTATAAAAAAAAAATTTTTTTGGAGGGTTTTAAAATATTATACCTGTTAATAGGTTTTAAAAATAAAATTATTATTAAAAATTCTTTTCACACATACGTTTTGTTTTTAATTGTTTTTTTAACATTGGCGAAAATTAATTGTAAAATCTGTCATGTTCATTTCCTATCAAAATAATAATATTTAATTGACTTGTAATATTTGATAAGTAATGGAATTAAATCAATATAGAAAATTATGATTAATATTTTTTTTATAAGAAACCAAACTATTGGTATAATTTTTGTTTACGTATTAAAAATAATGATAAATATAAGTAAAAACATACAAGTCAATATGTTTACAACAATATACTTATATGTAATATGCTGTATAAGTTACTCAATCACACGAATTAATTACTATTGTATGAGGTCCAAAGATTATTTGTAATTTATATTGTTTGTTAACATTTGGCATGATAAACATGTAGAGACAACATTGTTAAAACAATCAAATTATGTTTATGTTCTATGGTGTTATTGTCCTTATTGTAATTTCGATCAAAGATACAAAATGTATGTATTAACAAATAGCATGTAACTTTTTAAAAGACATTCAGGTTATTAAAATAATCATTCGAATTTAGATTTTAAAAAAAAAAAAAAAAATTCGACTAAACAATCAAACAATTATTGTTGGTTGGTTGGTTAGTATTTTAAAGATTAAACTATCTAACTAACGCCAATAAAAAAAATAAATGATGATTTTATTTACATTCTACTCAATTATAATTTAATTTCGCGTTGCATGTACAGTAGCTTTAACGTTATTCTTGTTGTCGATGATAATTTTAACAAAAAGTTTCTTCTTTCATCGTTTTAACTTTTATCAATTATGATGAATTGAATGTAATGTACAGTGTATCAATCTTATCAGTAGGTTAAAAGAAAAAAGAACGTCGCCCCGAAATGATTAAATCAATAATAGTTTAACGCAAGGTGAGATTATTATTTTTTTAAACCCAAAATTTTTTACGCAAGCAAATGTCTAATCTTATTTGGGAAGAGCATCACGGATTTTATCTTTTTAAGCGCAAAGGTAAGAGCGAACCCCTGCTTTTATTTGAATCATCAAGTTGATTTGTTCTATAAAATCGGATCAGTAGGTATGCGCACGTACGTACGCATACGTAATTATGAAACCACGACGTGCTCCAATGGCTAACCGTTTATGGTCTTTAAAATTATTATTCGACACGTAGGTTTTATTGATTCTTGAAGATTCTTGATCAATTAAACAAACGCAAGATGCCTAGACTCAAACGCGTCATTTGCTGTTCCATGCAAAGAAATTATAAAGTATTTGACCATTAACACCGAGAGGTCCAAACTAACCTTAAATCACCCATCCGTCGACTGATGGAATTCACATGACGAGAAATTCTGATCAGTGCATTCCTTGTGATACCTAAAAGGGTAATTGCGTACATATGTATTTCATAGTAAATTTATACGATCGGTAATTATTGTATAATAAACTCTATTACAGTATTAAGTCCTAAAACTGTGATGCGAAAGGAGCATAGTATCAATTTCCATATAAAGCGATCAGGATCAACTGCGTTTCACAAGAAACGTTTTAAAATGAAAAATTAAAGGAAAATATTCAGAACATGATAAGCACTTTCATTCTGGTGTTGATTTTTTATGATGGTTCCAGCATGATTTTTCTATTTCATTAACAATCTTTTTTGCCAAAGGATATTAAATTTTCTCAACTATTTCACCATAAAACTTTCATAGCCGACTGTTTCCTTTAAATTATAAGTTTTTGGCGGGCCAAAAAACTATCTTGCAAGTCAAGACGTCTCATTTGTTGTTCATTGAAAAGTCGAGAAAATTTAATATTCATAAATCTGCGTTTTAACTATTTGAACAAACCGCTAAGCAAAAAAATCGTGCCCCGATGACTTTCGTATATGAATTGTGAACCATTTGCCAATAAAGAAGAAAGAAAAAATGTCTAATCGTGTAGTGCTGGTTTTCGTAGGCGTTTTGTTTTCTGTTGGTATTATTCTACTTGATGTCCTGGAAATTCATAGGACAGTTCAGTTTGACTAAAGTATTTTCTTTATCGGAGAAAGATATATTGCCTGGTTATTGCGATCCTGTCGTTCATTGGTCTCAATTGTAAGTTCTTTTTGTCGGTTCAAGTTCTTTTGATGGAAGCATGTACTAATCGTTCGTTTTTTCTTTCGTTTTGTCGTAGTTGCAACCTTTCACCTCTCGAGTTTTTTGATAGCCGGATATGCAGCGATTTATGGAGTGCTCTCCCCGATAGGACTTTCAGGAATTCTTGGAGGACTTCATGTACGTATCCATAGTTACGATGATTTGTCAAGTGGCAAATGGGATATACTAATTTTTTCCTTTCGTAGCGTAAGAAAAGCCTTATAAAAGGCTTCATGTATCAATATTGGTTCGCTTCTGGATTAATGATTGGAATCAACGTTGCTAATGTAATTCTGTCAGATAAATTTCGTGCAAACGCAATTCGTAAATGTCAAAGTGCACTTTTCGGTGTGGTGTCCGATAGTCAAAAAGTATTGAATATGTGTACCAGTAAAGTTCAAAAATCCGAAGGGGTGGCTTTGATTTTTACCTCAGTTCAGGGTGCAGTGCTGGTAAGTTTTTTTTTGAATTTTCAAGATTTGCACTCGTGGAAAATTGATTAATCAATTTTTGAAAAAATTTAGATCTTAGTTGGATTCCTTGTATTGTTCTTTGGAATTAAAGAGTTTAAAGACATAATATTAGAGGAAGAAACCAAAAGTTTACTTGAAAAAGCAAAGTTCCAAGAAGATTCACGAAATTCGATGTCAGATAACGAATCCAATGCATCCGGAAGTAACAATGCTAATTCAAACGCCGCTGATGGAGGACGCTATCCAGCTTCCGCGAGCGTTTCGAGAGCATCTTCAAGATCCGATCATGGGCGTTTTACACAAAACTCTGCCGGTACGAACGTTTCGAGAGAGCCTTCATCACGATCTGATCGAGAACGGTTTGCACAAAAAGTCAACGCTGTTCCAGCTTCTTATGCAGGACCGAATCGTCCGCAGACACCAGGTGCCTCGTATCCTTATTCAACACCGGCCAATAATGTGAGTAATAGTCGTATCAACGTTTCTACCAATCGAGGGGCACCACCAGGAAAATATCAGCCACCACCGGGGCATTATCAGTCAACAACGCCGAAAAACGCTTATCCCGCATCCAACAAGAATAATAATTATGTTTCTTCATCCAATAAAAATAATTATGCTTCCACATCCAGTAAAAATAATTATCCGCCTTCATCCAACAAAAGTAATTACCCCCCTTCGTCTAGCAAAAGTAGCTATCCCTCATCCAGCAAAAATAATTATCCACCATCCAACAAAAATAATAGCAGTCCCATAATTGGATCCAGCAGGACAGGCCCAAATCCGCCCAATGCGAAGCTCGTTAATTATTCATCACAACCATTGCCCTTGCCCGTGACTTCACCGGAACGATCTTATACGCCGGAACGATCTTACACGCCGGAACGATCTTACACACCAGATCGGTATGGTCCTCAGACATCAAATTCAAGTTCCTATAGTGCACCAATAGCGAACTATGCTGGTAAATCATCGATGAGGCAACCGATGATGCCACCCTCAAGTAATCGAAATTATCCGTCGAGTACGCGACCACCAGCAAATGTCAATTATTATCCACCGCCTGTATCAGCCAATCGATCCCAACAAAAAATCAAAAAAGGTTACCAAGCAAGCGCTAACGATTATGATTATACCAATGATTATAATGATTACATAATTCCGTCGGATAATTATATAACATACGCTCAACCGAGGTAATTAATAATAACGGGTGAAAAGGTCTTACTAATGAGTGGATGAGCGTATCTTTGGTGGTGTTAAACTCCTGATAAGGGAAAAAAAAAAGGTTTTGCGAACAATTTAGGGTCCAAATTCCAATACCTCGTGAAATGTAATGCCTTTGTTTTTGTAAAAAGTTAGATGTTTGCGTTTCACATAATGTTTATATCAAATACAATACATTCCTTTATTTACTTTGAAGAAAAAGGAGATTTCACAATTTCTTTTTTTAATTTACTTATACAAAAAAATTAATGTTAATAAAAGAATAACGACCCTAATTTCTTATTCTGTCCTCTTTGTTCCATCCATAATGATATTCTAATTCACATTAAATCCTCTTTGCTCAAAAACTTTCTTTACCAGATTGAACACCGAGATCCACTTGCTAGATCATCTCACATACGCGATTGTTTCAGCATAACATGTAATTGCAAAGTGACTTATCTGCGTGTTTGAAAATTATCCTTGCAAGAAACTGTTTCACCAATGTCTCGGATAATATTTAGGTTAAGCATTTAGTCACATGAAATTTTATTCAGAATGCTTATTATCGTATACGTAATGTTTAAGAAAATTCCTCATGCCAAAGTTAAAAGGAAAGCAAGTAGAAATATTGTCTAAATGTCTTAAAAAAGGTTTTGCGTGCCGCAAGCCTAATAGTTAAACTGGTTAAGTATTTATTCGATATTGCATACACGAGCGCTGTTAGGGATTAGTCAGGAAAAGCGACAATGCGTCACTCAGGACAGGCCATGTACGTAAATTTATCTTAATACAGTAATCAAAATCTCTAACAGTACTGTATTGTATATGTTTTGTGTTTGTATTGAAATCATACGATAAACATCATCATACTGTATTTATTTTTTGTTTTTTTTTGTTTTAAAAAAAAAAAAAATACAAAATGCGTGATTCGCGAATCTTTAGTTCACATTACATAATTTTTATAATTCGTGCAAGAGAAAAAGTATTTAAGTAACTACTTGATCACGGATGACCTGTCACCTTTGAATTTTCGTATATGGAATTAAAATGAAAGTTTATTTAACGTGCGTGTCTATATTTCCGGTTCTAGACGCTTACGAAAAAAGAGAATGAACAAACTTGATTTATGTAATCAATTTATAGAGAAAAAAAAACAATTAAAGCAGAAATTTCGAAATTCGCATTTTTTCGCAATATATTTTTTATTTGAAATGATTCATACAAAGTCCTCTCGCGAAATACTTCTGTGCATGCTTAAACCAAATGCAAAAGTAGATATTATAATGCTATATCTTTGTATACAATATATACGTGGTATAGCAATCGGTTGCCTACTCAATCCTTCAACTTTGGGAACAACTGTCCTTTAACATCAAACTTCACGATTTTTCCGTCTTTCATGGTTGGCCAACCGTTTCCTAATTTAGCATCGCTCCACTTCCTTTCATCCTTTCCAACACTAAGATTATCCAATAGTTCCGACATCTTGGTAGGCATTACTGATTGTAATAGTATACCGGCTATACGTAAAGTCTCGGCGGAAAAGAACAATGTCCTATTGAGAAGTTCTTCATTCTCCGGGGTGCGTGCATGAGGGCTAGAGACCAACTTCCATGGTTCACAGTCCGTGAAATATTTATTGACCTTGGTTTCAAACGGAGAATATTTAATTGGCGGGAATAATGATGATATTCCAAAAGATGATTAACTTACTTCGGCAATGGCATCGAAAATTAAGCCCAAACCTTTGCTGAATTCAAACTTCTCAAAATGTTTATCCACGAGATCTTTAAATAACCGTGAAATTATTTCTTAACATGAATGTAACCATAAAAACAATAACAATTGTGACTTTAAGAAATTACTTGGTAAATTGGTTAGTATGTTCATCAATGCAACTTCGTTTTCTTTTAGATTACCATCAAGCAGTGGCGACTTGGGTACTATCGACGATGGATTAAGTGAATGTGAAGTACTCCGTGAGATCAGATTTCCAATTTGTCCCGCCAAGTCTTTTCGATATCTTCCACCAATTATGTGTTCCGAATAAGCTGACATTTAAAAAGACGCATTCTTTAATTCGCAAAATAAGGGACGAAAGAATAAAAAATGGTTATGAACCAATTGATGCACACCTCCATCATCAGCAATGCCACCATCCCTCAATAGATAATATCTTACAGCGTCAACACCATAATGATTCATTAATTTAAATGGGCAAATAACATTTCCGCGACTTTTTGACATCTTATGTTTTTCTAATGTCCAATGAGAATGCGCCAGTATTTTCTTTGGCAATGGTAATTTTGCTGCCATCAAAAAAGAAATCCATAGGATTGTATGAAATCTTTTAAAAAAATGATAGTGAGCTTTGGTATGCGTATTCCTGTTCAGTTCATATTAGATCTAGGCATATAATTTTGTATTTAGAGTTTCTTACTTTATAATATCTTTTCCGACTATGTGAATATCGGCAGGCCAAGCATTGGGTTTTCTGCCCGTAAAGCTTTCCTTCCCATGCTCGCCCTTTGTATCCCAAGGATATCCGCCAACGGTCAGATAACTAATCAAAGCATCCAACCAGACATAGATTATTTGTTCATCGTCTCCAGGAACATCCACCCCCCAATTTAATCTAGATCGAGGTCTTGATATGGATAAATCTGATATATCGGTTTTTATCAATGATCTTACTTCGTTATATCTGTTTGACGGCACGATTACTACAGATCGCCGAGGTTACCACAAAATAAATAGTTAATTTTATATAATATGCCAAAATAAATTCTAATTGACATCATATATATATATATATATACCATCCGGATTTTCATCCAGCCATCTTGTTAATTCACTTTGAAACTTGGATAAGGTGAACTTATAATTATCCTCTGTAGTCCATTCAACCGGTTGTCCGGAATCTATTGCTACCTGGTTCGCGAAAGAAAAAGGTTATGTTCGTAAGTACAAATCCATTCTAATAAAAATTTGACCTTGATCATAGCTAAATTTCACGAGCCATCTAATGAAACACAGCTCACCCTAACTTTATTTCCATCCGACGTAACAGTTTCATGGACCTGTGAAGCATTGTAAAACGCTTCGTCGGATAT